GAGGAAACGCAGAACCTGAAGCTGTGAGTGCGCTTTTCTTTTGATCAGCACTTGAAGCTCTTTGGAGCTGAAGTTCTGTGAAACGTGTCGAGCGACTGCGATCCTGTAAACCGAGGTTCATCGGCAGCTTCTCCTCAGCACAAAGATTCCTCCTCTGAACTTTAACATTCAGACGGGCTTCAGGGCCGACAGCAGCAGGAGGCCCCTGAGTCTGTGGACCAATCATCTCTGAGGCCTGTTCTACACAGCGAGCTCTGAAACTGTTTCTCCGCAGGCGATAAAACACTAACGATCATTATCACAACGTAACAACATAACTGATGTTCAATAAATGTTTGATTTCACTCATCTGAACCACCAACGAATCAGCACTTTATTTTTAAAGATATTTATTTTGTTGATTTGATCAGAAGAGGTCTGATCTGTGAAGCGATCTTCTGTTTGGCATCAAGAGTTTGTTCTGAGCAGAGTTAAAACTACGTTAACTTTCACTCAGGAGCAGAAATAAACCTTCATATTTCTCCTGATAATTACTGATCTGGAGTGATGTGACGGTTTTTATTGGGACTAGAGCTGAAACAATCAGATTAATCAATTTGTTGTCAAGTATTAAATTAATCTGCAACTATTGTGATAATCGATGAAACGCTTTGAGACTTTTTTTAAAGACAAAACGTCTAAATTTCTGTACATGTTCTGCTTTCTTAGGAGTTTTGAACAGAACAAGACATTTAAGGACGGCGCCATCTCAGGCTGAGAAACACTGATCGACACGTGTCACAATTTTCGATCTATCGAGAAAATGATTGACAGATTAATTGATAATGCAACTTATCATTAGTTGGAGCTGTAGGGCTCAGAATCCCCTCAGACAGACCTGCTTTTCTGTGTGACTAATAAAACTCTGTTTGAGGTGTTTCCTTTAGTGCGTGCAGCGACTGCAGCGCTCAGGTTTACATCATGGGTCACATGTTTAAACCAGGTCACATCAGATCTGCTAATAAACCCGCGTGTGGCCTAAAATTAAATGAATCAGTACTGAAATATTGTTATGGGACCAAGTTACATTCCTGCTCATCATAAAATTCAAAGTTGTAAAAGGTGTTTCTAAGGATTCTGTTGCTGTTTCACCTGATTAAAGATCCCACGTGACTGATCAATAATCACTCCATCAGCATCGATACATTTCTGAAGAAAACAAAAAGAGTCAAAGATCAATAAGCTCCACTGACAGAAAGTCCAGAGAGGAGTTGTGGCTCCTCCTCCTCCTCCTCAGGGGTCCCGCTCCTTCTTCACCTTCACGTCTCCGGCCAGGATGGTCGCTATCTCCCCCTGCATGAAGGCCCAGGGCACGTTGGAGCCGACCAGCGGGCACTTCTCCCCGCTGGGGCAGTACACCTCCCCGGAGGCCCCCTGGGCCTTGATGCTCTCTCTGGAGCAGGGGAAGCAGAACTTGTGTCCGGGGACGGACGGACACTGAACGAAGTGCGTGTCCTCTAAGCGTTCGTGGCAGATGGTGCAGCACAGCGGCCCGCTGTTGGCCATGGGGGAGTCGGGCACGTTCTGCGCGTGCGCCTGGTCCATGCCACCGGCGGACTGCGACGCGGCGGAGAGTCCGAGGTCTCCGTTGCGGGACGAGAGGCGCCTCTGCCCGGACGCGGAGGCGGGCGACACCGGGCTGCCGGCGTTGTGTCTGGAGGAGGTGGTGGAGTGGACCGAGTCCCTGTCCTTGTTGGGGGAGTGCGCGTTCGCGAGCGTGTCCGCCACGGACATGAGCGCGGCCATCGGGGACTGTCCGTTCTGCGGAGGAGCGCAGGAGTCCGGGGGGGTGGCGCGGCCGGAGGGGGGGCCGGAGTGTCCCGGACCGAGAGGAGGCGGCGGCCCGGTGAAGGAGCTCGCCGCCATGGAGAGTTTGAGGGCTTCGGTCTGGCTGTTGATCCACTGCTGCCTCTGCTGCTCCTCCGTCAGCTTCAGGTCCGCAGAGTCCGGCTCCGGGGAGGCTTTCCTCTTCCTCACGCCGGCCCTGGAGCTGCTGCCCCCGCTGCCTGAAGCCAGAGCCCGGCCCGGGAGCACCAGGGAGGTGGGCAGCAGCGGGAAGCTGCCGTCGACGTGGGGCTGCGGCAGCATGTCCCCCCCCACCCCCTCCTTAAAGAAGCGCAGGGACTCCGGTAACAGGTCCCCCAGCAGGCGCCAGTCCCCGGAGCCGTGCTTCTTCTCGTACTCCAGGTACTTGAACCCGGAGGACAGCCCTCTGCCGAAGTCCTTCATGCAGTCCTGGTACATCTGCTTGGCCACCCCCGAGGCGCTGGAGAACACGTTCCCGGAGCCGCTCGGGTACTCGATGAAGATCTTCAGCTCGTGCTCCATCCCGGGTTTGGACACGGCGTCGAAGGCGAACACCCGGCCCACCAGCCCGTGGTCCTTCTTGAAGCGGACGTCGAACGGGGTGGATCCGGACAGAGAGACCAGCGTGTCCCTCACCGTCTTCGGCTTGCTCGCCCACTCGTCCTGCCGGTTCCGGAGACTCTCGCTCAGCTCGGCCAGAACCTCCACGTTCCGCTGCTTCTCTTTCAGCTCCCGCTCCTGGTCCGTGCTGGACACCGAGGCGGGCCGCTTCCCTGCGGGATCTGACAGCCCCCCCTGTCCGGGCAGGGAGACACCGAGAGGGTTGGTTCTGCTCGCCAACAGGGTCTGAGGCAGCAGGTTCGGAGGTACATTCATCTGTCCCGGTGCCGACACCAGCCCGCCGTGGATCCTGTTCCTCGAGTTCGGGCTCTGTCGGTTCAGCTCGGGCGGTCCGTCGTCCGGTTTGAACCCGTTCGGTCCGGCCAGTCCGTTGGGCAGCCTGCTGCTGCTGTGCCCGCTGTAGTCAAACCGAGCCCGGCTGTCTGCACCGAGCGAGTACCGGTCCAAACCGGGCTGCTGGGACTTCCCCGGTCCGTCCGCCTGGTGCTGGTGGTGGTTCAGCTGCCCCATCGGCTCCTTCCCGGTCATTAAAGCCGCCTGGCTCTTCGCCACGGCGGGCTGCGGAGGTGGAGGCGGTCCGCCGGCGGGAGACCGGGCCTCCTGGAAGCTGTGAGCCCGCTTCAGGTGGCGGGCTGTCTCGATGACGAACTCGATCCGGTCCGCGCCCTCGTAGTTGACGCAGCCGCGGCACACAGGCTCGGTGAAGTCCCAGATCATGGCCCAGGGCATGCGGGGCAGGTCGCACAGATAACACGACTGTCTGCGGGACGAGGAGACCTGCGGGGCGGACATCATGCCCGGATCCGTCCCTGCTGCTCCGGGAGCCGCGAGCAGAAAGAACCGGAGAGACAGACTGCAGACTCCGGTTATTGTTCCTGCTGGAGCTCCGTGTGCTGCAGAGGAGGGGGGGGCTGCGTTTCCCCCTCAATCAGACAGCAGCTGAGGAATTTGGTTTCACCCCCCCCCCCCTCAGGAATGCCACCTGGTAGAGTAAGTGACGTCACATTATGACGTCACAGCTGCAGGAGAGAAACAAACTGATGTGTGATCAGTTTCCAATCAGTCGTTTCCTGTGCAGCATGACGTCACAGCCAGGAACAAAGGCTCCTCAGCAAACAGGAGCCGGTCCAGGAGCCGGTCCAGGAGCCGGTCCAGGAGCCAGTCCAGGAGCCGGTCCAGGAGCCGGTCCACAAACAGAACACATGACTCACATCAGTCACAGTATTGATCTGATATCTGTCACTGATCCACGTGGAATCAGCTGATCATCCTGTTGCTTTCTCTCTGCATCTCTTCTTCACTCATCAGCTGCAGCTGGTGTGAGTGTTGCTAGGCAGCTTTCTCTCTCTCTCTGTGTGGAGCGAGCCTCGGTCGCCCGGCTCAGGACTCTTTGTGTCCTCACTGCGCTGGACAGAAAGGCGAGAACGCCTGAGACTGATCCATCAGCCGATCGACAGGAAATAAGTCTGCAGCCGTTTTAAAGATCAGCTCCGCCGCAATGATGTCATGCTTCTGTTTGACACACACACACTGTCCAGGCAGGGTTAACTGGCACCACGCCACCCTGATGCATTCTGGGAACAATATGAAACCCAAGTTATCAAACCTCGAGCGAGTCGGCTGCTTGGCTCAGCGCCACACACGCACAGATCAGCGCCCCTGTGCCTCTGATGGAGACTGCGATGAGACTGTTGCCGTGGTAACGCGCCTGGTAACCGTTCTGTGAGGAGGAAAGCTGCAGCCTCGTTTACTGGCTCGTTACCAGCTGAGGGACCGGACTCGTGGTTTAGGGTGATAACGGGGACCAGATGAGCTCTGCAGGTTCTGCAGCTCTGTGTGACTGAAGCGAGGTGTTATTTCCGCTTCCTGTTTCCTGTCGCGGTCAGTTTGTGATCAACAGGAAACCTGCTCCTGAGATATTAACGAAAACTGAGAGCAAGCAGAGAACTACGACTCCCAGGGTGCACTTCACCACCAAACAGCCAGTCACAGAGCTTCACATTAAGGCCAGATTTTACATCTGCACATTTCATGAATTCAGCCCTGGCGCCGTGTTCCCATCACGCTGCGCCACCAGCTGACCTCAGCAGCGCTGTGACACGCACGCCGCCGGCCGCCTCCCTTCCCGCGCCTCCTTCGGTGCTGTGGTTTGTTTGTGTGTGTAACTGTCACGCTCAAACGCCCACTCCCCCCTCACCTCACCTGGTTTGCTGGGCAGTTGTCATAGCAACTGGGTACGTCTCCTCGGTGGCGGCGGCTGTGGTTGCCGAGGAGCTTTGCTGCTGGTTGCTAAGGACATCTGCTGATGGAGAGAGAAGAAAGCAGAGTCAGATCAGCAACACCTGGACAGATGACTACAAACACATCACTTAGAGGTGAAGGGGTTAAAGGTCAAAGGTCACAGTTCTGTAGGTCAATCCGCTCTGATGTGTTCAGGGGCCCCTTTGAAACTAGAGCCACTTCCTCTGGTCAGAGTCGCCCGAGCGTTTAAATAATCAATCCAATAAAAATAGAGTCAATAATAAACACAGCGGCCGACCTTCAGATGACCTTCAGGAAGCAGGAAGTGACACGTTTATCAAACATCAACCGGCTCAGTTATTGATTTCTGTTCTTTAAAAGTTAAATCTGACGTTCACCAACACAGACGCTGTGAAGAGAATCCAAACTTTAGATCGACCATCAGAGAGAACGTGATCAGACTGTTGATCGCTTACTGATCAATAAGATTCATTAATAAACAGCTGATCAGAAAGGATCACTTATTAATTACTGTCAGTCCAGCAGGCTTTATTACCTGCTACCTCTCTGCTGATTGGCTGCTGATGGCGCTCAGCGTGGCGGACCCTGCGCCGTGTCTACAACCTCCTTAAAGTCTTGAAATGATTGGTTCATGTGGACCGCTCCAGAGTCCGCTATGGGAAGCAGCCCGACCCGTCTCAAGCGGTCTTGGTATGGTTGTGCGGTCCACAGATCCGGTGTGAGAGCACCCTTAAACTCCCGCTGGATCAGGTGGACCCGGTCCAGGGGACAGTAAGACTCCCAGGTGTCCACAGAGACAGGAAGCAGCACCTGTATCAGGTTCTGTAAAGTGAACTGATGAGTCATCAGGTCCACACCTCTCTCTGTGAAGACCTGATCCTGCTGCCACCTGCTGGTCACAGCGCCTCATCGCCTCTGAGGTCTGTGATGAGGCGCTTTACTGGAACGCAGTTCCGTCTTTAGAAACATCCATATCCCGGTTAGTTTTTTACCCAAACATGATCCTGAACACGAAGCTCCCGTCATCGACGTGCGGACAGAGAGCCTCTAAGCTCCGCGGTCCTTCCTCATAACACAGAGACTCTGGACATGAAGGCAGCGGTCAGGCTGCAGTCTTCAATAACTGGACAGAGTAAAACCATATTCTTTGGAAATGGACCTCAAGAATGGCTGAAAAAAGATTTAATGACCAGTAAATGTCTCTCTCAGGAAAGCCCAACACCGACCGGACTTTATCTTCATGACCCAGTAAGTGTTCTGGATTAAAAAGATCTCCCCCCGTCTCTACAGAGATGTTCGTTTTGGTTTGTTTCCTCTGTGTTTCTATCCGTTCTTCTGACAACAATATGAATAACAGGTTTTGGATTACATTGTACAGAAACACGAGACCGCTGCTGAACACCAATAAAATAAGAATTACAATAAATAAATAAAAAGTGATCAGTGATCCGTCCTGGCGTTTTTAGCAGGCTGGAGATGACGGGACTGTCTGAGTGAGGATGACTGTGGTGCAGCTCAAACACAGTGTTGCATTATTTGCTGCTGACGGTCTGAATGAGCCAGATTGTATTAATGTAACAGACGTCAGTTTGAACAATCAGTGACAGGCTGACCTGCTGGGTGGGACCGTGGCGATCGCAGGTCTGACCTGCTGGGTGGGACCGTGGCGATCGCAGGTCTGACCTGCTGGGTGGGACCGTGGCGATCGCAGGTCTGACCTGCTGGGTGGGACCGTGGCGATCGCAGGTCTGACCTGCTGGGTGGGACCGTGGCGATCGCAGGTCTGACCTGCTGGGTGGGACCGTGGCGATCGCAGGTCTGACCTGCTGGATTCATGTTTTCACCTTCATTTATTATATATATATTTATATTTAGTCCCGCCAGGTTCCCGCTTATTAAATCCAGCCTTCCTGTTTAAACTGACTGGAGGAGAATTCTTCTCTTTGTCATTCATTAAGGAAACTCTGGCTCCCCCGGTCCCCCTGACCCGGTCCCTCTGACCCGGTCCCTCTGACCCGGTCCCTCTGACCCGGTCCCCCTCCAAAGGACTTCTTCCAGCTGCCCTGGACTTTAACCTTCGTTGGAAAGTCACAAAGTGTGTGTTTACCTGCAGCGTCCAGGTGAGTGACCTGCAGACGGGGCGGCTGACCTGAAGCCGTGAGGTCAGAGGTCGCAGGCGCCACAGGGGCGTGGCCCGCCGCTATCCTGAGGGCCGACTCCAGCAGCTGGCTCTGATTGGAGGAGAGGAGAGCCAATGAGCAGTCAGCGAGCAGAGCCAGGTGTGCAGCAGCTGAGCAGGTGAGTGTTTACCTGCAGCTGCAGCTGTTGGCTGTGCAGCGTCTCCAGGTGATGCAGCGTCTGCTGACTCAGGCTCCGCCCCCTGTCCCCGCCCTCCCTAACGACAGAGCAGACAGTGATGTCACAGTGATGTCACAGTGTGTGTGTGTTCTTGTGTCTCTGTGAGGATCAGTGTGTTTCTTTTCTTCTCACACAGAAAATAACTCAAGTGAACTAAAACGCATCAGTAAAGTCAGGTGGGGACATCCTGCCCTCTCATTGGTCAGATCGGGCAGGAGAGTCAACACAGGAAGTCCTGAAGAAGGTCCCGGCCAGACTCTTCTGTCCGGTCTGCTTGAGTTATTCTCTGTGTCCAGCTCGGACCACAGATACAGATACAGGTAGCTGGAGAGGTGCAAGTTCCCCTCCTGGGCACTGCCGAAGGAGGCCCCCCAGCCTCCAGGGGTCCTTGAGGGGTTTCCAGGGGGAACCATT